GAGCGTTATGCACTTCAATCGTGCCTCCAATGGATTTAAGGAACCTTCGCATACATTGGAACAGCCCGACTGGGAGATGACAATCGATTTCGAGATCCTCAAGGATGGGCCGGCCAATTCCAAAGGAATTGCAACCATGCGTATGTGACTTCACTTAGGTCTCCAATGTCGGTGCACCTTGTCCTCCAGTGCTTTAAGAACTGCTGGATGACCCCGATTCCTTGCTTGTCAGCGAGTCGAAACATTTCTATACCCCCCAACTTCCAGGAACCATAGCAGATCACTTTCGCAGTATTCGATCGATACCCCATCTTCTGAAGTGCAGCTCGGCGTGGAGCCGATTCAATGGTATCGACATCAACATCCTTGAAGAAGGTGGTCTCCAAACAATAACCCACGCTCAAAAGGAAGATGCTTCGATAGAACATGTTGGCTTCCCGTCTATTCAATGGGGATCCCTTCAGAACTCTGGTATAGTGGGTGCATTTCTTGATCAAGGCTGCTTTCTGTGCTGCAAGATTTCCAGCCGGGCCTTTGAAACATCCCAGTGACTTGTGATCTTTGTAGTTGTCGACTGGTTTGATCGGCGTGACTATCCCATCAGTGGATTCCACCTTGATGGATGGTGTAAAGTCAGTCCCCGAGACCAGCTTTGGTTCTCCGCTGGATCTGAACTCATATCGGAGATGATGAAAGGAACACTTCAAAGCCTCCAGCTTGCCACCCGATGACCACAGAAGATCACTCCACCATTGAGCATCTTTGGTTGCCTTCTCCACCAAGACCTGCACTGAGGGAATAGTGTTGGTCAAAAAGCAATTCGTTCTTGAATTCGTATCATCCACAAACCCCGTCATGAAGAGCTTGACCTGCTTTGATCCGTCCGGGCTGGCAAAGGTGGCACCAGTTGCATAGGGCTCGAAACAATCAAATAGTGTGCTCGAAATAAACAGCCATAAGGCAGGGGAGTTCCCAGCTCCTTGGCCAGACCCGTGCCAGGGATCTTCCTCCGTATGACCTAGAAACGTGACTGACGTTCTCAGAGTGGTCTTGATATGGTACTGGGCCTGTTCCAGATTCATGCCGTTCACTTTACAGACACGCACTGGCATACCTATCTTTCGGCTTGCAAGACTGGCAACGTACATGAGAATCCTATCGTAGCACACAGCTGCGTCATTGTCATTTTTGATTAGGGGGTGCAAATAACAACGTGATACTTCATACTCGAGTTCCTCCATATAACAGAGATCAATGGCGGACCTTCCTGGAACGGAACCAAACTGTCTTGTGTTGATCAGCCCTTGCTTGGAGGCATGGTGGAGGAGTTCACGCCACTTCACTCCGAGAAGCAGGTTATAGTCGGCTTCAAAGATATGGATGACTCTCAGACGATGGATTTTGCAACCACCCTCATCCCCAAGGATGAGGGTGTTGACAATTTTGTTCCATCTAGAGTAGGCAAAGCCCTGTTCCAGAGCAAAGTTGAGGAGCCTAAAGTGGGCCTGTTTGATCTGTGTTTGAAAAGCCTCCAGCTCCTTCCCTTCCTCAGACTCTGGGTCGAGGCTGTGTTCCGCAAAGAGTGACTTCCAATGGCCGAGGTGTTGCCCAGAGGGAGAGGTGGTGGTGCGCTCATTCCAGCTCTTGAGTTTCCCATCAAACTGTTCCTGTGTCAACGTTGCTGGAATCTCACCATCACAAGCCCGAGCCAGATGCCTGAGGAGAACTGCTGTAGCGAATGACGTTTCAAATGGGCAAATGTCGTATTCGCCATCGAGGATTGCATCGGCGGTAGCAGTACTGGCGGAGAAATCTGTATCGGCCCGCAGTGTGGAGTCGGAGCGGAATTCTGTCTCCTCAGCCTGCCGGAAATGCTTTTTGAGGTGAGCCTGGAGGTGGCGTTCAATTTCCTCGGGATCCTCAACATACATCCAGTCTTGACACTGTTTTGGTGGCGCAGTGGGGTCTCGGGGGACTTCCAAGGCTGTCAGTCCCGCACCATGACATTTACCCCTGGCGTGGGCACACTTTTGCCATGCTCTCCGAGTGGCTTCAGCGTTGCGCAAGCGCTTCATCACATTAGCCAACCTCGTGTCACCTTCAGATTCGTATTGTGCTTGGAGTTCCATTTGATACTCTTGGCGCAACTTGTGTGTTCTCCACTCATCCACCTCCGCTGCACGAAGTTCCTTGCGGGCTTGCTTCTTTCGTTTCTTGCAGTCTTCCAACGAGGTGGGTAGTTCAAAGGCTGGATCGGAGATCCGCTCCATGCGTAGACGAATCTGATTGGTAACGTCGTTCTTGCATTGGAGTGCATGCAGGGCCATCGTCAAGACTTGGAACTTCAGTCGTAACTGGGTCAATGCTGGGGAACTGGGAATGGGCGAATAGGTTGGGCACTTTTTGGCGGCGTGGAGGCTTGCAGAGAGCAGGAGTTGATCCAAGGCCTCAGCCTCCTGCTGAGTAGGTGCCTGGTTGAATCTCCACAGTCGTTGAAAGAATCCATGATTGTCAAGATAGCTGTACTTGGATTTGATGTAGGTGGTGACTTGATGGTGTTTCTTGGAGTGCACCCTTCGTTGACAGGGCTTGGGTAAAGCTGCTGTATCAGACCCAAACAGCTGTTTCAAGTCGAAGTCGACAAAGCAGGCACGGTGGTCACTATAGAAGTGGTCACAGAATGAATGGTAACCACAAGCGTCGACAGCATCCAAAAGGTTTTCAGAAACGCGGATGTAATCGATTACCTTACTGCCTCTGACATAGGTGTTAAAGTCGCTGATTCCATGATTGTAGAAAATCGGATCTACAAGCTTGCAATCGGATACCAGCCGTGACAGCCCCTTCCGTCCTCTTGCCAAATCGTCATTGAAATCCCCACCAACAATAATCTCATGACCATTGGCGATGTCATTGGCCACGCATTCCTGAAGATCATCATAGTGGTTCCTCCTTGGATCTAGGGACGGCCTTGATTCCTGTACATAGATGGCGTGTAGTTGATCTATTCAGTCCCATACGACTATCGCGACGATACAAGTGTTTTCAACGGAATCAAGATGCTGCCTTACAGTCCCACTGCGAAGTCGCTCCGTGTTGCAAGAGCATACCAAGAGGGGTTTCGGACGGAGAAGTCAGCTCTATGTACTCTCCTTGGGTATAAGAAGCTCACCAATGATCAAGGCAGAAAAAACATTTTGAAACTTCATAGCTGGTGCCTCCAAACAGCCCTCCACAAGGCAGTCGGAAAGGAGGCGCTTATCGAGGACTACCATGCTTTTGATCAAGCAGATTACCGCTACAGTACCTTTGACACAGAGTTGAAGGAGGTCAATGCGAGTCACATTGAGCTTACTCGAAACTTCCTAGCGGATATTCAGTTACTCAAAGGCAAGACAGTGTTCATAGAGATCTCTCTGGACCAAAACGGGATATTTGGGAGGCACCACAAAAATGCTAGAGATTTGGATGGTCAGCTAACTTACACCAAATACGGCAATGCAGTTGTCGGTCCCATGTCACTCTCGCGTGAGGTCAGATACATCACCCATGTTGAGGGGAACCGACACCTCCGAGTGATGATCATACTGGTACCAAAAGACACTGACTATTTTGATCCCAGTGAGATGTTCGGGGAGTCTGGTCTTTTGCAAAGCAGTATAGCACGTATCTACCCCCACTTCCACTATGATTCCTTCTTCAATTCACAGGATAAGGACCTCCACCAGAACATTGAACGATACCTCCAGCTCATCCACCCCCATTATTACACCAAACTGCAAGAAAAGGAAGAAGGGGCTGATGACGAGGAAGAAAAAGACAATTAGGATAAGGTAGAGGAGGAGGGAAAGAAGGAGTCGGAGGATTCCAATTTCGATGACACTGACGGGAGCCACGATGGTCTTGATGATAAGAAGAAGCCCCCCAAGAAAAGGGTTGATGCAGAGGAGACTGACGCAAGCAAAAATGGTCTTGGTGATGAGAAGGAGCCCACAGTGAAAAAGTTTGAAGCAAAGACTGTGGAACTGGGTACCATAACGATGGAGATGCCACTGCGACAGTTTTACACACCAGACTTCCAGAATATCTGTAAGTGCCTCCCCTGATGAGACTTCAAAACCTAAAATGACAAAAGAGAGAGAGATAGAGAGAGAGAGTTCGAAAGAGAGAGAGAGAGAGAGAGAGAGAGAGAGAGATTAAGAGAGAGAGAGAGAGAGAGACACAGAGACAGAGAGAGAGAGGGAGATACTGAGTGGACCTCATGCAGCTCTAGCTCCAAACCAAAAGAAAAAAGAAAAGAGAACTAACATGGTTTTTGTCTATTTATACTACTATGAACTCTTCTACTCATTGTTAGGTCTCCCTTCACGTAAACTTCATGGTGAACGCCACTTCATTGTCATCGGATGAGCAGGACGACAGACTTTCTGCTTTATTGTTGCCTTCCTTAGCCTCCAGTTTATTATTGACACTTCCAATAGAGACCCTGTTTGCTTTTGTGGCAGGAGGAGCAGTTTGTTTTCTGACAGCCTTTACCATCTCAGATTGTTTCGGGAATACAGGACGGTACAGCTCTTCGTCGCCCTCCTCATCCGAGGAATCCAAGACAATTTCATATACTTGGTCCTCTCTCTGCATTCTCCCTCCTCTCTCATCTGATTCTGACTCATCGTTGCTACTATGGTCGCTGCTGTCATCTTTGCACGACAGTTTCTTATTACCATACAAGTCGACTTTCAACTCCTCCAAGTCCCCACCAACCGTTTCATCATCATCACTTGATTCCATGTTAGCTTCATCGTCAAGCATCCTCTTCCCATACACATCTACTTTCAGTTCCGAGGTTGAAACAATGCAAACTGGGATGGGATCCTTGATGCGGTACCTTTTCATGAAAAGCCTGCAGTGTTCCTTCTGAAGCATCTTTTCCACAGCCTTCTTTGTGAAATTGACAGTTCTCTTGTCAGCTATCAAGTGCTTGTGGCAGCTATCACGAATCTCTGGTCCCAAGCAGTGGCAAGGCATGGTTTGAGGTGACAGATGTCACAGTGGGGAGCTATGATGCCATCATGCTTGTCCTCCTTGCTCTGTCCATAGCCCGGCGGCCTATACACTATCTTTCCCTCGCTAGGCTCGTACTCAGATGACTCTCTTGGGTATCCTTCCACTGTGAAGTTCAGCCTTGATTGTTTGCTCTCCGCTGCTCCGCTGCTAGACTCCTTCCTCTTCCCTTGTCTGTGCTTGGCAGTCCTTGATCTTTGACCACCTGCTGCAGTCCTCTTCTCACCAGTCTTCTTCCCTTGACAGGTTGCTTTCTTGTCATTGGTCTTCTTGCCTCTCTTCTTCTTACTATTAGCACCCGATCCACTATCAAAAACATGGCCCATCTTCTCCATGAAGAGGATTCGACTCGCTGACAGTGTTTCTGGAGGTGAAATTGGAGCGTGGTCTTTTAGGTTTCTGGTGGCCCACCTATCACCTGGAGCCCTCCACTTGTTGAGCTTGAACTCGAAGCAAAGATTACAGGTATCTTCTTCAAGACATAGAGGGCACCCACTATACAAGATCCTGGTAGCATTGCTTGGCATACGCTTCTGCATCTGCACACTCGCTATCCAACCAAGAACCAGGAAGTGACATATTATTCCTTTGTTTTTCGTTTTCGTTTGTCCGGACAGGATTTTTTGTGAGACTGACACATTTTCAAAATCTCTCCCCCCTTCCCCCCATCCACTTTTTCAAAAAATAGTTCATGCCAACGAGATTGCTTGAATTTCATGCCAACGAACCCAAACGTATGGAAAAAGAATGACCCAACCAGCCCCCACTCCCAGTACTGCAACGACTATATTGATATCATACCAGCAGGAAGTATGTAGAGAGAAAGACAGCATGCTACTATGTATGCAGTTTAACGACTACATCCCCAGTCAAAAAATAATGAGACATAAAATTGATTTCCTCCAGTATGGTAAGGACTAAACCAACTGCAAGCAAAGTAGTCGACGGGCAACATCCCAGATTCCGGAAGGTGCTAGCAAGGCGGGCCGCCAGCCAGGAAGGTCCCTCCTCCATTGAAGGTGTGTGTCAAAAAGAGATAGCGCTATCGCCCAGGAACTGTGGCTCTCAGAGAAATTCGAAGGTACCAGAAGTCAACCGATCTCCTAATCAGGAGACTGCCCTTTCAGCGTCTTGTTCGAGAGATAGCTTCTGATATTAGAAAAGACATCAGATTCCAAGGGTCTGCAATGGAAGCTCTCCAGTAAGCGTCAGAAGCCCATCTTGTCAACATGTTCAAATGTTCCAATAAAAAAAAAACAATATCTTTATAACGAATATGGTGTCAATGGGCAAGCACTCCTGCACTGACAATTCCCCCAGGCCGAAGCGAGGGTTGATCTCACAGAGAGGCAGCCAAAGGCACCCTCACCGGCATCACACTCCCAAAGGAGATGATGCATTTATGTATCACTACAGTATTTTACATTGGCAGACTCACAGAATCGTGCCGAACATTGAAGACGGAAAGAGGTGGGCAAATGGCATGGGAGAGTTACTGAGGAGGAAAGGAGGGGAGGAGGGGAGGAGGAAAGAAGGGAGAGTCCCCTATCCAGTCTCAAGTCGGGTGGTGCAACTCTCTTGCAGAATAGGCTCCCAAGTATTGATCCATTGTCAAATTGATGAGGTTGGCCATTGGGCTCTAGGATGGAATGATGTTTAGAGAAGCCAGAGGTGCTCTGGAAGCAACTGGTCAGTGTACTTGGTGTAAAGCAGGTCAAGTTCATGGATGGCTTGTCGGTTCTCTGCCTGGGCTTGGGCTTGGGCATCTTTGCCATGTCTGTCTTCATTCCGGGCTTCCCAGAGGTCCTACCACTGTTGTGCATTGCATTTCATGGATTAATCCTGTGAGCCAGGACTGACCATTCTTCCTTGGTGTTTTGAGGTTGTTGTCTTTTAAGTGCTGATCTTGATTCTGGGCCCAGAGTTTGGAGAATCGCCCTTTGAAGATGTGTTCCCATCCGATATTGTGTTGGGAATCTATGATGTCCTGGATATCAGCATTGTGTTCAATTGACTCAATGTCACCATCATCTAGGAGGGTGTTGAGTGCAGATGTGATAGTGGCATGGAGGGATGGGTGAGTGTTGTGTTTGTCTAGATACTGCTTGATTGCTTTTTTCCAGTTGTCTCGGTCAGTTTGTCGTTTCGGGCAACTCATGACATGGTCCTTGTCCTCTTCGTGGTAGCCGCAGGATGCACATGCAATGGGATATTTGGGGTCGTACTTGTTGACTCGGGTACCCACGGGGTGCCAGCCGATCAGATACTTTATCATGGAGGTTTGGTGTGCTTTCGTTCGATTTAATGCTCGTCCATGACACGTCCAGTCAATGTCATCAAATATCTCCTGGTCCCATTCATACTTGTCCATGAGAAATGCGGCATTGTCAGGCACAGATCGAGCCAATTTGAGTTCATGCTTGATGTTGTGGGTGAAAGTCCCATAGGGCAAGTTGATTTGACATCCACTGGTGGGCAGGATGGGGACTTTGGAATGGTCAAAATTGGGGTGGGCCTGGAGCCAGTCATCAGCCAACTGATCAGCATCAATGTTGAGTTGAGCCTCTAAGTTCAGTTCGTCATATGGTTTAGCGTCGTCCTGGTGTCCTTTGACATGAAGAATGCTGGGGACGGATTCGGGAACATGTTCAAATGTTCCAACCTTTGTGCTATCCATGCCAAGAGAATCACCATTATGCCAAAAGATATCCAGCTAGCCAGGAGGATTCGAGGTGGAAGGTTTTAGGTACTATTCTATAGTCAAGAGAGACCTGAAAAATTAATGTATAAGATAATATGTGTTCTTCTTTGTTGCCTTCTTTTGTGCATATACCCATATGTCTTTCGTCAGTGCAGCCTTAACTGTTTTTTGGTTTGCATGAGGGCGTAATTGTTTTCTTTTCATGCACTTTGTGAATGTGACAACTCCTCTTCTAGGACCGTTAACCCGTGGTTATAAATATATATAGGTATACATATATAGATAGTAGTATACCTGGTCTGTGCAAGGATCGAATCATGCGCCTGCCATCCCTGTCATGCCAACTCGGGTCACATACATTTTGCGGCCTGTTTGAACTCATTACTTAGCCAAAACTCTGGGAGTTCACTCTGCCCCTTCTGTAGAGTGAAACTACAGAGCAAATTCATTGTTTGGCAGAGTTTTTCGTTTCCAGTGTAGTTGTGCTTGGGACCACGGGTTGCCTTGACGGCTCCATAGGTTCCATATCTTGTATTGAACCACTCCAGAGTGCGGTTATGTACCAGCTACATTCTGTGGCTCGACATCAAGTCGTCCACATGGAATCGAATTGTCTGATCCTATTGGCCACACATGGATCGTACGGATTAAACACGAATCCAATTTCCTCCAGGTCACTCCTGAAGAGCTTGTACCAGAGCAGAGCTGCCAACACCATGCCATAAATGGCTCTCTCCACGACAACATAAAGGACAGGACGTCCCTTTTTGTATGTCAAGAATGAAGCATAAGTGTCAGTATCAATTTTCGACAAGTAATGTCTGCAAGAGTTTCCCTCAATGATCATGAGGACCCTGTCTTCAACTTGTTTGCTTTGGCATTGGGGTTTGGATGAACGCATTGGAACATCCAGGACATTACATCCCTATCTTCAGATGCATCGACACACATAGATAACATCAACCTTCAAGTGATAACTGTTCGGGCTTCTGGCATCCTCTCTTCTGTGTACACCCTTGTAGGTTTCCATTGTAGACTGCACGGGCCTTGACCGTGCCTCCCTTTTCTCACTCACAAACATGAGTGCCATTTGGGTCTTTTTCAATTCAGAATCACTGCATTTGTTTGGGTCGACTGGACTAAAACACACTCTGCTGTGTAGCTTGTCCATCTCTTTGAGCGCCGCCTTTCAGGCTTTGTTGCCCCACACTTTCAGACCCTTGGGTAGAAGATGTTGTTGGGATGGGCTGCTCTCATCTTTACTTCTGCTGTGGCACTCTGTGATTCAGGAGTCCATGAACAAAGCAGTGTTGCTTGTCTCTGTCTCATAAAGTAGTGGTTGCTTCGTTTCATCATCTTGGATGAAGGTACTCCTTTCTTTGCTTCGGCTGTGGCAATCGAGCTGAGCGTCTAATTCCAACTCTGGAAGCTTGAGCCTTGGCTGGCCAGCGAGGTTTCCATCATTGTATCCATGTGTTGCCGTTCTTCAATGTAGGGTTGTCTGGACTTGTGTTTGTTGGGATTCCTTGGAATCCCTCTTCTCCTTCTTCATCGGAGTCAATGTCTGTGGCATACTGTTTGGATGCCCTTGGTATAGCCCTGGGGCGTTCCCTCCTTAGAATCTTCATCTGATTTCGGATTCCACTGTTTCTTCCGAACTGGATCTCCATAGACTTGTAGGTAGCTCTCATTTCCATTGACACCATCCACTCCTGCAGGCAAACCTACAGGAAAAATTCCACAAAGTCACGGTTGTGAAAGATTAGTGGTTACTTACCCTCACCGTATGCATTCTTTTCGACAGCATCAAAGACTGAGCGAGGCATCGGCAGGATGCGGACATGCTGTCGCGTGATCACCTCCAAGGTGACGAGGTCCATCACACTCTGTCCACCTTGGTGGTTGTCCACCAATGGACGGAGATAGATGACATCCAATCGCCTGGGCTCCATGGATTTGAGCTTGTCTGGTTCGTTGGAAGCGAGACCATAGCTCCCAAAAGTGTACTGAATATCTTTGTAGTTTGTGGTCCGACCCTCCAAGATCTTGCTGGGAGGATACACTTTAGAGATTCCATTAAGCGCGGGGAGGAAGAGGTTTTTAGTTTTACCATTAACATCGTACACCAATTCCAAAATCATCACCTTTGGCATCACCATGAACGGTGTTGAATGCCAGGCTGCGCGGATGCGCTCGTTCAAGGTTCGGATGTTCCGCTCGGCGGGACCACTTGGAGTCTGAGCCGCTCCATAGTTGAGCTTGAGCTCCATGACGTTCTTTAGAAGCGATCCCATCAGGCTTTTCACTCAGGTCGCACTGTATTTCTTGGATCTTGAAATCATTATTCCGTACCGATCAAAAATCTTGTTCAATGGCGGCATAGAATTATTTTCCCTTCCTGTTGGTCAGGTTGGCTGATTCGCGGTGTCAGATTTGCAGGTCAGTGAATGCTAGGAAGCAATCTCACAGACATAAACACATCCATGCATCCAGTCAAGAACCTGTGAGGTGCCACCAGCTCATCGGGTACAGTATGATTATTGTCGGTCACTGGTGGCGGGGTTCTGCGTGTAGTAGAGCCTTGGCTTTGCCCATGTCGCTCCCGAAAAATTAATTCGGCGCGATCGATGTCCTCCAGCTTGACGGTACAGTCGCGAATTTGACCGTTCCTGATCATGTTGCGGTATCCCTCCAAAGATGGGCGCTGGAGGTTGTGGTCAAGATTTCTTGCGAGAAATGCACCCTTGGCTTTTGCTTCTTGGTAAAGCCTTCGAGGTTGCCCTTCACCGTCTGGACCAAATTATGGAACTCCGGTGAAAACTGGTTGAGTTGTGCCATGTGATCCATCAGGTCTTGCTCAATCAACAGGCCATACAGACCTTTGGCAGTCCTTCCATACCTGGTATGGATCCCAGTTGGGCGGTAGTGGTGGATGGCGTCGTCGACTCTAGAGTCCATGAGGACATAGGAATCCATCTGTGCCTGGACGCAGTCATCCACAACAAGAGAAAAAGCGTTGATATTGGCGATGCCTCCTGGATTGGAATAACCATTGCCGTAAGGTGTGTCACCTTCTTGGATAAGCTTGGTGCTTCCAACATTGGTGGCCATCTCGATTGGTCTGGGAGATAGCCGCTTGCGGACAATCATGTCCTGGTTCATGACAGTTCGGATGGAACTGCCACTGTCGAGATACACTGTGTTGGCTCCATCAGGAATGAGGTTCTTGACCGACACTCCTGCAAGATTTGGCTCTGCCACTCCTGTGAGTTCGGCATCTGCCACTCCTGGGAACTCAAACGCAACTTGATGGTTCTGTTCTTCGACTGAAAGTGAGTCTTGGAAATCTTCATAACAGTTGCCTCGCTGATTCTCCCGTTGACGCCGGCTGGGTCCACGGTACAAGCAACGAAATTCATTCTCTGTATCCGAGCTGTAGTCGGAACAGCAGCTCTGATCATCGTCTTGGCCATTCCGAGGGATGACTCCTTCGAAGGGATCTGTGTGGAAGACGTGTCAGGGTGGGCAGAACGACTGACAAGTATATTATGTGTATCATTGTACCGCTGGAGGATAAGGTCGGATCCGATGTTACACCGTGCAGGACCTCCCCTCAGCAAGCCGATCATGGCCGTAGCCGAAGTGATAGACTTTCTTCGGATTATCGTCCATCATGCCCTCCACTCCTCTGCATAAAGCGGTATGCCTCCAAGGAAAACGGTAGCGAATGCTACCCCCAGTCGATGAAGGCTTCCGGCCCACTGTCGGTGGTTGACTCATCTCGCCCATCAGGGGCGGGACTCCATCGACTTGATGGTGCTGAAAGTGGAACTGCAGTGACCCTGCCGCGCTGGCCTGGGGGCTTGGCTTGATGGGAACTGCTTGAAATTCGACTGCGCTCGTAGGAGTGGAGGGACTCCACTGAGATCCAGCTCCTGCTCGAAGAGTCTCCAGGCTGGAGCTGTAGCTGGTGCCGTCACACTGTGGTGGGCACTCCTTGGAGCAGCTGCATCTGGTGTTGATGATACTGCGGCATGAGGGACTTCTTCATGCCATTTGATCTTGTTGATCGCCCATTCAGGCTTGGGGATCTATGACTTCACCTTGCACTGGGAGTTTGTGATCTGGGTTTCCACAACAGTAGCAGGCTTCCCCTGGCTGTGACTGCTGGTAGTAGACAGCAGCTGGGAGCCCTTCCTCATCTTCTTGGGATCAAAAGGAGGTGGCTTGGAGATTGTGAATATGGCTTCCGGATCCTTGGCTTCCGTTGGTCCACACCATTCCTTGCTGGGCTTGAATCTGTCTATTGGACAGCATCTCTCTAAGAATGATCAAAGGTATCAGGAAACTGGATGGTACCGTTCATAGATAGGCTGCGGCCTCAAACGGTTTTCTGGTAATCTCCAGTATTCTTCCTCTCTTGTTAGTTCCATTGTAGGCCACGGTTTGCCTTACAACCTTGCTCGTTTCCGCAAGTACACCTTGTCTTTTGGCGTCTTGTCCAGATGCGGCCTGGTAGATCGTCTGAGTTCAGAGTTCATACATCAATGAACGCCGTTCCGACAAGATCATAGACTTGATCACGTCGCTGTCGACCTTCTCACAAGTAGAGTCAATCTGTCAGTATAGCTCTTGCTTGGGAACAGACCAGTGGATGGTCTTGATGTTGAGTACAATGGGAACTCTTTTGTAGATCCTTTCATCACTATCAAACGGATCCTCTGGAGCATCAAATGGGGTCGAGCTTAACTGCATCCTCATGTCTGGGAGGCCTCTCAACTGGACTTCATATTGTTCGGTACAGTATGTCACCTGTATGGTGGTTGCACCAGTCTTGAGATAGTTCTCATAGGATCGAGCGACTGTCGTAGATGGATGACTTTGCCTTGTACTCGCTGAGTTCCAAAGCATCGTTACTGTTGCACTTTGGGATCAGCAAGTGATGCCTGGAGTGTTCTTGTCCGGCTTGGATGGCG